CCCCTCTCCCTCCCCCTCTCCCTCTCCTCCCTCTTTCCCTCTCCCCCTAGATAGATAGATTCTTCTCCCCCTCTCCCTCTCCCTCTCCCTCTCCTCCCTCTTTCCCTCTCCCCCTAGATAGATAGATTCTAGATGATAGCCCAGGTTGGCCTTGAACTCAAGGCAGTCCTCTTGCTTCACATCCCCTCTATCCCCAAGTACTGAGATTATAGGTGTAAGGGGAGGGGGATGTTTGCCTTTTTATTTCAGGCTGGAGCTTGAACCCCAAACCCTGGGTATGCTAGGTATGGATGCCCTGAGTAACATCCTCAGTTTGTCTGTTTTTGAGACCGTCTTAAATTACTTAACATCACCATTTCTCTTTAATTTTACATATGGTATATTTTAAGTTGTTATGTATCATGGATAATAGTCCTTATTGTGCATACACATTTTCATAACTTTTCACATATTAAGGGCTTACTAAAAGTTTGCAATAATAAGTGATAAAAAGTTTATCTTTCTGCTTTTAGATCATGCTTTACGACTATGGAATATCCAGACAGACACGCTTGTGGCAATATTTGGAGGTGTGGAAGGACACAGAGATGAAGTTCTGAGTGCTGTAAGTTGAAGCTGGGAGGAATGACCTTGGGTTTATATAGTGTAGATGAATGTTTGTGTCTGCTTCATGCAGCCTGCCAGGCAGTCATTTTGTCTTTTTGACATAGAGACTTTGGCACTGAACATAAAAGAATAGAACAAGTTAAACTACTGTCAGTTTCAGTTGTATAAAGTTCATTTTTTTACACAAGCATCAGGATCATTGTAGAAGAATATCACAAAGTCATTCCTTTTTGTGGGTTTGTTGTTGGTTTTGGAGATAGGATTTTACATGTAACTCGGGCTGGTGTTCAAAGCTCCATCCTTCTGTCTCAGCCTCCTGGGTGTCGGGATTACAGACATGCTCCATAAGATCCAACTTTTTTCCCATTTAAAGTCACCAAGTTAATTTTTCCTTGTTCCTGTTACTAAAGAATAATAACTATCCATAAGAGATTTTTTTGTTTGAACTTGGAATAAGTGTTCCACTTTTAGGAAGTCTTCTGGTGTGCTTACCCATATATCTCAGAATGCCTCTTTTCTGGGTGTGCAAGACCAATGGTTGTTTTTTTGTTTTTTTTTTTAAGTATTGCTTTGTGTTTTTTGCAAGCAAGGTTTCACTATAGCACCAACTGCCCCAGAACTTTCTGTGTAGATTAGATTGACATCTGACTTCCTAAGTGATGAGAGTAAAAGCTGTGCCACAGTGTGTGTGTATGTGTGTATATGTGTTTGTGAGTAGGTGTGTCTTAGGGTTTCTATTGCTGCACTGAAAACAGCATGACCAAAAAGCAAGTTGATGAGGAAAGGTTTGTTTGGCTTATACTTCCATATCACTGTTCATCACTGAAGAAAGTCAGTACAGTTCTCAAGCAGGAGCTGATTTAGGGGCCATGGAGGGGTGCTGCCTACTGGCTTGCTTTCCCCAACTTGCTCAGCCTGCTTTCTTATAGAACCCAGAACCACTAGCCTAGGAATAGGGCCACCCAAAATGGGCTGCCTCACCCCCCCACTCCACCTCCATCAATAACTAATTAAGAAAATGCCCTACAGCTTGATTTTTTTTTATTTTACTTATTTATTTTATTTTTTTGGTTTTTCAAGACAGAGTTTCTCTGCGACTTTGAAGGCTGTTCTGGAACTAGCTCTTGTAGACTAGGACAGAGATCCACCTGCCTCTACCTCCCGAGGGCTGGGATTAAAGGTGTGCGCCACCAATGCCCACCCTTACAGCTTGATTTTTATGGAGGCATTTTCTCAGTTAAGGTTCCTTCCTTTCAGATAACTACTTTCTGTGTCAGGTTGATAGAAGACCAGCTGCTACAAAGTGGATGTATAAAGCCGCAATGCTTCCCTATGTAAAGATCATAAGACAAGGAGTTGAAGTCTCTTCTCTATTTCTGCCCTGTGGTTCCAGGGACCAAACTGATATTTAGGCTTGGTAACAGGTCTCTGTAGCAGCTGAGACATCTCACTGTCCTGATTTTTTAAAGACAAGCATGTACTATCTTTATACTAATACATTGTAATTAGTGATCTGTCAGCTTTAGTAAGTGTTCAAGTTTTTAATATTATTATAGCTTTGCATGTTAACTCACTTGAGTTTTTTTTTTTTTTAAACTTTGTTTCTCTTTGTTTTTATTTTGGTTTTTTTGTTTTGTTTTGGTTTGGTTTTTCGAGACAGGGTTTCTCTGTGTAGCTTTGGAGCGTATCCTGGCACTCACTCTGGAGACCAGGCTGGCCTCGAACTCACAGAGATCCCCCTGCCTCTGCCTCCCGAGTGCTGGGACTAAAGATGTGCGCCACCAATGCCCAGCTGTTTTTTTCTAATTTAACTACTTAATGATGAATCACTTTGGGCTGGAGAGATGCCTCAGAGGTTGAGAGTACTGGCTGCTCTTCTAGAAGTCATGAGTTCAGTTCCTTGCAACCGTATGGTGGCTCGCAACCATCATAATGAGATCTGATGCCCTCCTCTGGCATGTAGGCATACATGCAGACAGACTGCTGTGTATATAAATAAATAGATAAATATTTTTTTAAAAAATCACTTTGAGCCAAATATGCCAGTGTCAAAATACTGAGTCAGGTCAAGCTTATCTACCTTGAGGGAATCATGACTCCTTAATGCTCCCTTGCCAACGAGGATTTTTCTAGAAGTTGTAGTGTCATTCTACGTCAGGCTCTATGTGGGAGTCAAGTCAAAGGAACTGTCCTTTATGAAAAAGTCTGACTTAGAGGGGCCAGACCATCTGTGCCTCTGGTTCTAAGGCATTTGATATCCTCTTCTGTCTTCCACAGGCACTACACACATGCAGTGTAGTGCAGACATATGAAAAATACCAATTAACATAAAAATAAATGAGTCTTTAAGAATCAAGAGTCTTTTTTAAAAGGAATTCTAACAAAGAGCCATAGACTCTAAGGGTATCTTATTGTTAGTGTGGTTATTAGAGAATTAGAGAGAATCGGTGACACGTAGATTTGTGAGGCTAATGTTATGGTACAATAGTTTTCAAGTTTGAGTTACTACAGAATATTTAGGTTGTTATAGAAATATTTTCTATGGATAGAACTCTTTACTGTTATTCTTTTCCTCTTTCTCTCTCTTTTATTCTTTTTTAAAAAATATTTATTTATTTATTTATTTATTTATTTATTTATTTATTTGAGACAGGCTCTTTCCATAGCCCTGGCTGTCCTGGAACTCACTTTGTAAACCAGTCTGGCCTCAAACTCAGAGTCCACCTGTTTCTGCCTCCCAAATGCTGGGATTAAAAGCATTCGCTACCACTTTGTTGGGGGAGAGGGGTGAATATGAGCAAAATATACTATAAAACAACAAAGAAATGACTCCCTCTCTCAAAAGCAGTCCTTAGCTAGGGTGGGACTTAATGTCTACTTCTACTTCTCCATGCTGGGATTTAGTAAATGTAATTTGAAATAGTATAAGAAAGAAAAAGTTTAATTTTAACTGTTGAAGGACCCTTACAGTTTTAAAAATAACTGCCACTTTAGTTTCTTAATTACAGTCAGACAAGAAAAGTAGTTTTAACTGTTCAGCTTTTTAGTGTCAGGATGATTATTTTCAGCATTTGCTTTACCTTTAAAATCAAGGAAGTTACTTAAACATAGTTGAATAGATGAACATAAATTCATGTAACATTTTTAGCCTTCCGTTTTGCTCTCTAGTGGTGCGATGTACTGAGGTGAAGCCTGAAATGTAGCTACTATTGTGATCTGAAATCAGCGCTCCCTGTATCATGTACCAGGTAAAAATTGGACAAATAGCATCTGAGACTGTAATTTACTTATTTGTACTGTTCTGTTTTATTCCTAGGATTATGATCTTTTGGGTGAAAAAATAATGTCCTGTGGTATGGATCACTCTCTTAAACTTTGGAGAATCAACTCAAAGAGAATGATGAATGCAATTAAGGAATCTTATGATTACAACCCAAATAAAACTAACAGGTGACAGTTCTGATGCTTTGTTTTTAAGTAGATGTGTTTCCCTTTCCCCCAAGTTTTGAGAAATAATCTCCTCTGCTGCTTTAGAAGCCCTTCTTGAATATAATCTCCAGGTATTGTGTACCTGCCATCAGATTCACTTCTTTCAAAAGGAATCCCTTATTTAAATTTTTTCCATCTTATTTCAATTGTTTTTGTCTAATAATGGTACACTTCACTTATTTAGATTTATGTATGCAAGTTCTTGACTCATTAAATTGGAAGTATAAAAAGTTTTAAATCACCTGAACCTATTGTGGACTAGAGAAGAGAAAAGATGTAATAGTAATTACTAATTCAATATAGTAAACTATGGTTTCAAATTGATTTTCTAGTTTATGATAATATAATACTTTCCTGCTGGGTATGGCAGTAAACACCTTTAATCCCAGCACTGAGGGGGCAGAGGCAAGGATATTTCTGTCGATTGGAATATTGGAAGTCAGCCTAGCCTACAGAGCAAGTTTCAGACCAGTTAGGGCTGCATACATAGTGAGACCCAACTGATTGATTGATAGATTGATAGGTAGACAGACAGACAGACACTGACATTTTCCTGTAAATGATGCTTTCTTCATTAAATAACAGACAGACAGACAGACAGACAGACACTGACATTTTCCTGTAAATGATGCTTTCTTCATTAAATAGAGGAAATTCTAATTGTGGAGTCTTGTTCCATAATACCATGGGGTGGAGAGTCCATATTTTTTGAAATGTTTCAATTGCTTCTCTTGAAGTGCTTCAGGTCTTGGTGTAACTGCCTTTTTAGTACTTACTGGGTTGTCAGTAATACTCTTAACTATAAACTCATTCACATGTGTTAATCTTTTATAAGCATCAGATGTTTAAATATGCTATTTTAGCAAAGAGTTTTAAAGTCTGATTATTAATAAGTTAATTTTGCAAGCTTTAGTAAGCACTGGAGTGTACCTACCATACCTCATTGGCTTTTAAGAATTAGTACAGCTTTTAGGTTTTTACCTTTCAGTGTCAGGTACAATGTTAAATTTATGTTTTGAAATGATTGTTAAGATTTCTGGAATAAACATAAATATAAAGACCAGTTTCCCTGGTCTTTTTTGAAAGGCTTTAACTAGTAATATAATATGCATTTGACTAAAAAGCAACTGAAATTGGAACAGTTAAGAATTCATGTCAAGATGGTTTGGTGGGATGGGCAAGTGCATTTGCTGTAAAAGCAGAAAGGCCTGAGTTCAAATCTCAGCACCCCTGCCTTGGCTCTGACTTCCTGTAATCCCAGGGTTCGGGAATGGAGCTGGGTGCTACACAGCCCAGGAACCCACTGGCTTCTGGTTCAGTGAAAGACCTTGTTTCAAAAATAAGGCTGAGAACGATATAGGAAGACACCCAGAGGCTCCCCTCTGTCCCCCACGTGCACATTTCATGGGTACATGTGTACACACACATTTTTGTCTAGTCATTAAAAGCATTTTATCATTTTAACAGATCCTAGACTTTGAAGTGGAAGGAGTTTGAGATAATGAGCTTCATCTGCTTTTTTATATATGAGGGAAAGGGAAAAGGAGGACATGATTGCCTCTGGCAATTAATTGCTGGAAATCACAGTTCTATAATTAATATAAAATGATGAATCATGGCCAGTCGGTGGTGGCTCGTTCCTTTAATTCCCATACTCGGGATGCAGAGGCAGGGGGATCTCTGAGTTCCGGGACAGCCAGGGCTACACAGAGAACCCTTGTCTCCAAAAAAAAAAAAAAAAGTACATCACAGAGGTGGGGTATGGCTCTGGTTGAACACTTACTCAGCAAAGGTGATTTTGTGAGTTGTGCCCCCCCCCCCAAAGTGAAAGAAATAAAAGCAAACAAACACCATAGAACTGTTTAGAAATGTTAGGTGTGCTTTTAATTTACCACCTCCTGAGTATCTTGTTTATTGTTTTTTCACAAATATATTTTAGCAAAAACGAAGGTCAGAGGACAACTATGGAGTTACTTCTCATTTTCCCCTTTTATGTAGGTTCCAAACATTGAACTCAGGTCAGGTTTGTGTGGCAAGTGCTTTTACCATCTCACCTGCTCCAAATTTAAAATCCTAAGTTTAAAAAGAAAAGTAAAGCGTTATATCAGAAAGCTGATAATGAAAGAAAATAAAAATGAAAAATGGATACTTTATCTCTAAAAAACAGGTTAACAGATAAATTTAGGAACATAGAGAAATTATTAGTCATGTCTTGTGGAGTTTTAAAAATTAAACTAGAAAACAAAGCTCAGTAGGCGGAATGCTTGCCTGATTTGTGGGAAGTCCTAGATTTGATCCTGAGCAATACACAGTATGTAAATCCCAAACTGAAAAATCAGTGTTTAATACTACTACACTTTTTTCTTTTAACTTTTACATTTCCATTCTTCCTTCAGGCCATTTATTTCCCAGAAAATCCACTTTCCTGACTTTTCTACCAGAGACATACATAGGAATTATGTTGATTGTGTGCGATGGTTAGGCGATTTGATACTTTCCAAGGTATGGAAAACTAGAGTTAAGTGTACTTGCATTGTGTGTATATGTGTGTATTGTGTGTGTGTGTGAGAGAGAGAGAGAGATCATGCTTTGCAGGAAACAGATTTACAGAATTTATTAAAATCAATAGCAGAAAACTTACAGAATTTTATATTTTGGTAGATTTCCAAACTTATTTAAGGAAATAAGTTTACTAGATTGTTGTTCTTTATACTCTAATATGAAGAGATGTGAGCTTGAAAGGTGCGACTGTCTCTGGGTATCAGTGATATTGAAAATAATAACTAAAGCCAAAAGGAATGTTTTTGTGTTTATCTCAGTAAATCCTTATTCGTAAGAACAGGTGGCTGGAGTTCATTGGCTTACAGGCTGCAGTTTGCTCACCCTATTCTACCTTGTTGGTAGATACAGATACATGCCCTCTGTATCCATGGATTCCACATCTTTTAATTCAATAGGATCAATGATCAATAGGAGTTTTTGAGCAAAAGGATTGCATCTGTGCTGAACATGTACAAAGAGTTTTTCTTGTTATTCACTAAATACAGTACAAGTAAAATACACACATTGCATTGTACTGGGTTTCATAAATGTAGTCATGATTGGAAGTATGTGTGAGTATGTGTACATATGATACCGTTTCAGTAAGGTACTAGAGCCTATAGACTTTGGTGTTTGGGGACAGTTCTTCCAGAGAATTCAGGAGTGACTATGTCTTGCTTTATTTAGTTGTTTTTTCCAGTTGGTCATTTAGAGGGGTGATTCATGTTCTGTGAACATGAATTGGAGAGATTCCTGCCTGGCTTCTTGAGATGAATGTTAGGCATTTCACAACTCCTTAGGCAGAACCTAGTTTGATTTATTTATTTTTCACTTCATTTCCTTTTGGGTTTACATTTCCTTTTGTTAGTTTCCTGTTTCCCCCCTTAAACTCTTTATCTTGTAGTAGACTGCAGGGAGTTTTAAAGGTAGTTCAGAGAGGTTCAGTATGACCATTACCTACTTTATCTCAGTAGTTATTTTTTATATGTATGAGTGTTTTGCTTCCATGTATGTCTGTGTACCTTGTGTGTGTGTGTTTCCCTCAGAGGCCAGAAGAGAACATTGGATCACCTGGAGCTGTGCTCTTGAAAACCTAGAAACATCTATGTGCTGTGTGTTTAGTTGCTTATCATTTTGTCATTTCAAAAATGCTATGATTGTTTTTTACTCAATTGGATTCAGTGGAGATCCATCCAAGTTACTACTTGTAAAGTAATTCTTATTTTCCATTGCTAAGTCATTCCATGGTACCACTGTTAATTAATCCCAATAATTAATTTTATGTATTCATTTATTATTTATTTATTTATTTTTCATTTATTTATTTGAGATAGAGTCTAGCCTGGAATTTGCTATGTAGACCAGGATGGCCTCAAACTCTGCTTCTGCCTTACAAGTGCTGGGATTAAAGGTGTGTACCACTATGCCTAAGCTTCATCACAGTTAATTTAACACCATATTATTGGCTGTGTTTGTTGTTTGTAGTTTTGAAGCTATAGTATACCTGATGAACAGTTCTGTACAGGATTTTGTCTCTTTTTGTTTCTCTGGGATAAATGTTTGGGAGAGCAATTGTTGGGTAATCGTTAAGCTTTTAAGAAACTATTAAACTATTTTTCAGAGTGCCATTTTATACTCTCACTAGTAAGGTGTGCAGTGTTTCTGTGTTATTGCCATCATCTAGTATTACCATTATTTTTATTTAGTTTCAGGAGATGTATAGTGAAACCTCATCATGATCTTGATTTGCATTCTCAGCTAGTGATGCTGTTGGACATCTACATTTGCTTATTTACCTTCTGTACTGTATTAGTCAGGGTTCTCTAGAAGAACAACTTATAGAATGAATACACACGCACGCACGCATGCACGCACGCACACATTCGGTAGAATGGCTTTTGGCTGTGGTCCAGCTAATCCATCAATGTCTGCGTATGAGTGGAAGATCCAACAATCCTCTAGGTGTTAAGTCCACAAGGCTGGCCTTAAGTATACACCAGAATCCCAAAGAGGTAGGCTCTAATGCCAGTGAAGGAGTAACTTGATATTGAGAGCGAAAGCAAGCAGATCAAAAGAGGGCTTCCTTCTTCTTGTCCCCTATGTGGGCTTCATGTAGAAAGTGTGTCCTGGATTAAAGGGGGCTCTTCACAGCTCAACAAATCTGGATTAAAATGTGTCTTTCCATCTCAAAGATTCAGATTAGAGGTCTCCCACTTCAAAAGATTTAAGGAAAAAATCCCTTACAGGTGTGCCCAGATGTAGTCAGGATAACAATTAAGAATAGCCATCACACCATTCATATCCTGTTTGGAGATAGCTCTTTGAATCTTTGGCTGATTTTATAATTGGATTAGTTTTCGTTTTATTTTTATTGTTGAACTCTGTGTTTATATATTCTAAATATGCATCTTATATGAGAAATATTGTTTGTAAATATTTTCAGCCAGTATCTTTTCATCTCTTTCGTAGGGCCTTAGGGTAAGAAAACACTTAGTTGTTTTTTGTTGTTTTTAAATTAGGTGTGCATGTGGAACTTTGTTTGTTTTGGTTTTTCGAGACAGGGTTTCTCTGTGGCTTTGGAGGCTGTCCTGAAACTAGCTGGTCTCCAACTCACAGAGATCCACCTGCCTCTGCCTCCAAGTGTGCACCACTAACGCCCGGCTATGCATGTGGAACTTGCATAGGAATCAGTTTTCACCTTACACCATGTGGATCTCAGGGATCAAACTTATCGGCTATGCATGTGGAACTTAAGGTAGCTTTTAGGAATCAGTTTTCACCTTACACCATGTGGATCTCAGGGATCAAACTTAGGTCATTAGACTTAGTGTCAAGTGCCTTTATCCATGGAGCCATCTTGCTGGTTTAAGAAAATGTGTAGTTTTCTAAAGTATAATTTGATTTTTTTGAGGAAAATCTTCATATGAAGATTTTATAAGGATTTTCTTGTCTTTTTGAGACAGTGTTTCTCTATAACACTTTCTAGACCAGGCTGACTTCAAACTCACAGAGATCCACCCGCCTCTGTCTCTAGTGCTACGCCTAAAGGCATGCGTCATATATATTTAAGGCATATACCTGGCTTCTTTTGTGTTTTGTGTGGAATTGTATTTGTTAATATTTTGTTGAGATACTGGAATGAAGTTTCCTTTTTGATATTTTTGTCTACCTCTTATTTCAATAGTACTGGCTTTATGAAAGAAATTATCAAGTGTTTATCTTCCATTTCTGGAATAGATGAAATAGAATTTATTTAATATTCTTTAAATGGTTGGTAGGAATTTCCTGTTGAAGTTCTAGATTAAAATATGAATTCAGTTTCCTTAATAAACAGCTGTTGAGATTAACTGCTTCATGTTGAGTGAGTTGTAGTATGTTGTTGGAGGACTTGGTTTGTCTGAGGTAAGATATATGAACAGAATTTCTTGCAGTGTTCCCATTGGGCATTATTTTGCTATCAACAGAGTCTCTAGTGATAACTCATTTTTCATTTTCTCTTTTGGGTACTGATGATTAAATAGGGTTCTACCACTAAGCTACATCCACCGTTTACATTCTCATTTGTTTTTTTGTTTTGTTTTTGTTTATTTATTTGTGAGACAGGGTCTCTCTGCATAGCCCTGGCTGTCCTGGAACTCACTACGGAGACCAGACTGGCCTTGGCCTTCTACTGCTTCAGCTTCCCGAGGCCTAGGATTAAAGGAATTTGCTGTGTAGCCTAGGGTGTCCTCAAACTCAGCAATCCTCTTGGCTTAGTCTCCTGAGTGCTCATTTTTGTAATCTTTTCCCAACCTTTTGCTTTGACTTTGGTATTGAGTAGTAACTAAGGCTAAATCTAAGCAAGTGCTTTGCCACTGAGCTATATCCTCAGCCCTTTATTTGGACCTTATCTTTTTAAATTCTTTCTGCCAATTTATATTGTTAGCCACCAAAAAAATCTGAATGATTAGTCCACTGTTTCCTGTTTTTTATTCTGTATGTTTCTTGAGTTTGCCCCTGTATTTCCCATAGGTTAAGTGAAACTTTTGTTTCATTTTGCTCAGAGCTGGTTTCTTCTTCCTCCTCTTCCTTTTCATCTTCTCTCCTCTTCTTCTAATTCTTCTTGTTTGTTTGTTGAGACAGGGTATCTCACCATGAACCCAAGCCGGCCTTAAACATGCTATGTAGCCCCAGGTTAATCCTCCCCTCCCCCCCCCCAAAAAAAAGGCCAGGCAGTGGTGGCTCACATCTTTAATCCCAGCACTCCGGAGGCAGAGGCAAGCGGATCTCTGTGTTTGAGTCCAGCCTGATCTACAAGAGCTAGTTCCAGGACAGCCTCCAAAGACACAGAGAAACCCTGTCTCGAAACGCTGTCCCCACCCCCAAAACAAAGACACCTCAAAGACCACCCCCACAGTGATATACTTCCTCCAACAAAGGCCACACCTCCTAATCACTCTCTTTGGGGACCATTTTCTTTCAAACCACAGTTTTTATTCTTTAGCATTTCTAAGTCATTGCTTTCTCAGTATCTAGTCTAGGGTAGCAAAAGAAGCCCAAGGGAACTCTGCTGAGTCTTTAGAGAAAACTCCAAATATACAATTAGGACAGCATTGGGCCAGTGATGTCAGATACTGTGCAGTTAGTAACTTGTGAAGGAGATGTCATTTAGCTTGAGAATTTCCAAATTTGAAGGAAGTAGAGAAGAAAAACTGCTCTTCACATTGTAATCTTTCTGCTGCCATCTGACTGAAAAACTCTAGAGGGCAGAGTCTTTAATCTAGGTAGTGTAATGGTTGCGCAGCTTGTTGAAGAGGTTGTTGATATTTAGCAGCATCTCTGGCTTTTATCAACTAGAGGCCAGACACATTGCCAAAAATTTGCTCGTGTGGACCACTGACTGGGACAATGATCGGAATAATGGTCACAGGGACATTGTTTTAAGTAGAAGTGTCAAAAGATGCACTGTTATAGGAATGTGTAATTTCATATTCCCACATCAGTGTCTTGAGCTACTTTATAACCTATGATTACTTTCTTTCAATGAAGTAATCAATTTCCTACGATGTCTTCTAAGCATCTACCATGTGGTACCCACGCTGTGGATGAAGCCTCAGTAGATAACAAGGTACAGGGAGCTGCTCCTGGATACATGTGGATTGGGCAACTAGTGGCCAGATTTGAAAAGCCTTCTATTGCAATACTAAATTTTTCTGATTTCCTATAGTACTCCTCAAGATTCTGGGTACTAGCCTATCTGGAGCTGAATTTAATTTGTCCTGGAAAGTGAACTATTTCAAATAGCACAGTTCTTTTGTATTGTTTAATTCTTTTCCTAGTCAGGTTACTTGTCTTGGTGGTAAACAATCAGTTTATATAGTCCTGGAAAGCAGGTTCTTTGAGCTATCTTAAAATGGTAAACAGTTTTATTTTTATCTTTGTAATTCAGTTCTAATACATGTCTCTTATTTTTCTCTTTTAGTCTTGTGAAAATGCCATTGTATGCTGGAAACCTGGCAAAATGGAGGATGATATAGATAAAATTAAACCTAGTGAGTCTAATGTGACTATTCTTGGGCGATTTGATTACAGCCAGTGTGACATTTGGTACATGAGGTTTTCTATGGATTTCTGGCAAAAGGTAGCACATACTTTTACATTTGGAATTGTCTTCTGAAACACCGTATAGTTCTACCCTTTCCTTTTCTGTCCATGCTCCTTGTCCTCACACTTTGGTTGTGTTGATCCTGTGTTGATTACTTTAGTTGCCTTCCTGGGTGCTCACATTATCTGAAGTGTTATAGAAGAAATGGGCAGTTAGGTATTGGTAATGTTACATTCCTAATGCCTGTTCCTAAGATACAATATCTTACTGTGTTTATCATCTTACTTAGCTTTTTTTCTAGAAAGATTATTATCTAAAGTGTTAAGATTCTGCTGCAATGATTTTTGTCAGACAACTAACTGAGAAGCTTTGGAAAGCTTTAAGAAAGCTCCCACTCTAAGGTAGAAAAAAGTACTGTAATGCTGTCCATGAAGTGTTGCAGAGTCTTATATTCTCAAAATGCCAAGGAAATAGTAATTGCTCTTATTCTACAAATCAGTAACATAAGATGCAAAAATTAGCCAAGAGGACGACCATCAAGGCTGGAGCTCAGGCTTCTCTAAGCAAGGATTACTTGAATGCCTTAGAGCTTGATGCTGTGTTAATTTTATGTTTTCAACTATGTTTACACAGATGCTTGCATTGGGCAATCAGGTTGGCAAACTTTATGTTTGGGATTTAGAAGTAGAAGATCCTCATAAAGCCAAGTAAGTATAGAATTTTCCAAAAACGTTCTAAATTGTAGCCTTTTTGTGTCATCCTAAATTTTTGTGTTGTTGGGGATCAAATTCAGGGCGTTACACAAGCTAAGTGAGTGCATTACCACGGAACCTGATGATTATAACCTCTACAAGTTTCAGAGGTTATTTTTTAATATTTCAATTACCTGGTATTTATACTGTGGTGACAAGATAAATATACCAAAATTGACTTGAGAATGAATTTGAGATTTGAAAATGAATTCTTAATGAAGATAGCTTTAAACTGCTCATTTTCTCATTCACTCTTTAAGGTAAACACTGTAATGTGTGCTATTTCACCTCTTGTCATGTTTTTTTCTTAGATGTACAACACTGACTCATCATAAATGTGGTGCTGCTATTCGACAAACCAGCTTTAGCAGGGATAGCAGCATCCTCATAGCTGTCTGTGATGATGCCAGCATTTGGCGTTGGGATCGACTTCGATAAACTATTTTTTCCTAGAAAATTAGAATATGTTTGTTGTCTTTGTAAAATAGAATTAATGTATCTTGCTAGTAAGGGCACATAGAGCATTTAGACTTGTTTTTCAGCATTCAATCAGGCTGAGCTGAATGTAGTGATGTTTACATTGTTTACATTCTTTGTACTGTCTTCCTGCTCAGACTTTACGGCTTTTAATAAAAATTTATTTTTGTAAAGCTGTGTTATTTTTATTGTGATGAAACAAGTTGGAAGTAATAAAATTATACCATATCTTTTTGTAATGATTGCTTTAACTGGAGTAAGCTATTTACTATGGAAACTTAAGTGTAATTGTGTGCCTACATTTAAATCTTGGCTCTTCACCATGTAGCCTTGGATATTGTTTGTCACTGTTATTGGCCATGTACTGTGAAGAGATAAGACCAAGGCAACTCTTAGAAAACAAAGCATTTAATTGGGGACTTTCAGAGACAGTCCACTATCATGGTGGGGAGCACAGCAGCATGCAGGCAGTGTTTTGTTTTGGTTTTTTGGTTTTTTGAGACAGGGTTTCTCTCTGTAGCTTTGGAGCATATCCTGGCACTCACTCTGGAGACCAGGCTAGCCTCAAACTCACAGAGATCCACCTGCCTCTGCCTCCTGAGTGCTGGGATTAAAGGCATGCGCCACCATCATCCAGCTGCATGCAGGCTGTGTTAAAGCAGTAGCTGAGAGCTACATCCTGATCCACAGGCCGAAAGAGACAGCTAATCCTTTCAAATAATGCCACTCTGGTGACTAAAAAGTCAAATTATGAGTCTCTGGGGGCCATTCTTATTCAAACCACCACAGATACATAATTTCATATCATGTACTTTTAATTTCCTTATGTGTAAAACAGGCATAGATCCCCTGGAACTAGAATTATAGACAGTTGTAAGCTTCTATATGGGTGCTGGGAATTTAACCTGAGTTAAATTAAAGTGATTTTTCCTGCCTGGATCTGCAACCATCTTGCCCCAAATAAACACTCAACCTATATTATAAAACTGTTGGCCGATGGCTTGGGCTTCTTATTGGCTAGCTCTATCTTAATTATTAACCCATAACTACTAATCTATGTACTCCCATGTGGTCTTGGCTTACCGTAGAATGCGGACCTGCAACCTGTTACCATGCTACATCTCCACTGTTCTGCTGGGTTCTCCTGCCTGCTTTTCCTGGACTTCTCCTCTCCTAGTCCCGCCTATCTTCCTGCCTCATTGGCCATTGGCCCAACAGTGTTTTATTCATCAACCAATAAGAAACATACAGAAGGACATCATCCGGGTCCTCTGGAAGAACAGTCAGTGCTCTTAACTGCTGAGCCATCTCACCAGCCCCAGAACACACTTTCTTGTGTTTGGTTTATAAATTAGGCCATAGTAGTAACCTGAGTGGAAATGTCACCAATAGGAAGGAGGAGAGAGGAGGTTAAACAAAGAGGCTATGTAGTAAATCACCTTTTCTAAAAGATATTACTGGCTTGGTGAGACACAAACTAGGTCTGAGGGTTAAGAGTATATTTTGGACTTGGGTAATGGATGCATTGGAAGAGTTAGGACCAGGCTGGAAAAATGGCTTAGTGGGTAAAAATGCTTGCTATACATGCCTATAATCCCAGTGTTCTGCTGGGCAGAAACCAGAGACGGATTGCTGCAAATTCATGAAGATACTTCAAGGGAGTAAGGTGGAGAGTACTAGAGCAGGACACCTGATAGTCCTCTGGCTTCCATTCAGGTGCATCTTCCACACATGTATGGGCATTGATCACACATGGAGCAGAGGAAGAAAGGGTAGAAGGAAAAATGAGGTGAGCTGGGTAAATACAAGCTTGAATTTCGTTCAGTTTCTAAAGATCTATATAGTTTTTGTTTTTTTTGTGTGGTTTTTCAAGACTGGGTTTCTCTGTGTAGCCCTGACTGCCCTGGAACTCACGCTGTAGATCAGGCTGACCTCAAACTCACAGGGACCAGCTTGCCTCTGCTTCCCAAGTGCTGGAATTAAAGGTGTTTGCCACTACCGTCAGCCAAGATCCAAACAGTTTTAAGTTTTGAGTGACATGATGTAGCATGTGTTTTATGTAGTACTAGCTGACAAATAACTCAGTAAGTACACCAGGCTGGCCTCACAGAGATCATCCTGCTTCTGTCTCCGATGTGCTGGGATTAGTGATTTGCAACACCCCTCTCTGGGCTTGGATTTAGGTTCTGGTAACATGGCTAAACAAACCAAAAAGGTTGTGATCCTTGGGAAATACGGACCTGCTAAGGTGCCTCCTTCCAGAAAATAGTGAAAAAAATGGAAATCAGCCAGTACACCAACTACACTTGCTCCTGTGGCAAGACCACAGTGAAGTGACCTTTGGCATCTGACACTGGTTCCTTCATGACAACAGCAGCTGGTAGGTCCTGAACCTACAACACCACTTTGGCTGTCACAGTCAAGTCCGCCATGAGAAGACTAAAGGAACTGAAAGACCAGTAGAAGTGCTACCATTTGAAACTTGCCTAGCCTGTAATAAACAGGTTAATCTATGTTAAAAAAAAAAAAAAAAATTGCAACACCATGCCTGTTTCCAGAAGCCATGTTTGATAGTCTTTTGGATTTACTAACACAAAAAGTGAAGTTTGCTGAAGATTTAAGTCAACCAAATAGTTCACATCCAAAGTTTTGCAGATAGTGAAGCAAGCTCTGTTTTGAGAGCTGAAACATTAGATCCCCAAGCCTTGAGTTAACTAGAATTTTCAGAGGATGCAAAACAGCCACCCTACTTCAAGTCACACCTTTCTAGCACTTGGGGAAACTGAGGCAGGAGGACCATGAATTTGAGACCAGCTGAGATACATCACAAGATCCTGTCTCAAAAAAGCAAACTGCACCTCTCATGTATCTGTACTTTCTCCTTTGCATTTCTTAGTATATACTATGCTGCAAATATTACTTGAGGGCAGGCAAGATGGCTTAATGAATTTACTATACAAGCTTGAAACCTGCAATCCATGGCGGGAAGGCAACCAGCTCCCAGGAGTTGTCCTCTGGCTTTCAAATGTGCCCACATTCATCTATCATGCACATACACAACAAAGCTTAAATTAAAAAAAAAAATTAGCCTTGACAATTTCTCTTCTTACTGTGTTGTTTCTCTGGGTAGGTTTTGTTTTATTTCATCAGTATAACTCCAGCAACTAGAACAGTGCCTTGCACACAGAACAAGCACCAACATTTACTGGAAGAATGAAATAAAAGAAATCATAAAAGTAAGTAGCATGGCTACAGAGATTGAAAAAACAACTTTTAAAGACGAAAATATATTGAAGGAAAAAATATAGTGTATGGTCTAGACACCACTAAAGACTAGTGGCCTTCATATCCTAAGAAATTACTGAGAAAAAGAATATAGAGGATAAAATGAAAAGCCTATTAATATGCTTATTTGGTGACCAAGAAAAAAAAAGGAATACTTCAGTGCTGTGACCCTTTAATATGGCTAGTTCCTTGTGTTGTGGTGACCCCAACCATAAAGTTATTCTGCTGCTACTTCATAATTGTAATTTTGCTACTGTTATGAATCAGAATATAAATATCTGTGTTTTCTGATTGTCTTTGAGGGTTACCACTCACAGGTTGAGAACCACTGCAATACCTGAAGTAACACCTAAGAATGTGTGGAGTTGCGTATGACAGATCTAGGATAAATGGGTGGCTTTGGCATTTCATTGTCCCCTCATTGAAGTCATAGTCAGTACCAGGCCACATGACTTGTCTCTACCACACTCAGAGCTTCACCCTAAACTATAGCATGTCCTGAGGAAGCTCATCCTTCAGTTTGTTTCTTGAAGCTAGATTATGGGACAACTGTTCTTTTCTTGCTAAAGTCTTTTTGTGATAACAGCAGATGGTCCCCTAGAAAGTAGGTTCTCCCAGGAACTTCAATGCCACAACTCTGAGGACAATGAGATATGGAAGTCATAGAGGTTGTTGCATCTCCAGACAATGAATCAAGGATTCTACACACAATGTGGTCTACCTAGAGTACAACTTGATCTAAACTTCCTCTTCCTGGACAGGGAATACAGTTCAGTAGTTAAGTACTTACCTAGCAGTCATGCCAGTCTAAATTCAATTTTCACACACATGTACACACATAGCAAGTATACAGGTGATAACCTTTGAGTTCTACATTTAGTTATTCAACATGGAGCCCATTTCTTTTTTGGATTTTAGTTATTCAAGTATACATTGAGTTCTACATTTAGTTATTCAACATGGAGCCCATTTCTTTTTTGGATTACACCTTCAATAGTGAATTTTAAAAAATGACACGTATTTATGTTGTGGTCCAGTGTGTAGATGCACGCCTCATGCCCACGTGGAGGTCAGATGACAACTTGTGGGAATTGGTTCTTTCCTACCATAATAGGTTTGGGGACTGAATTCAGATTATCATCTGGCTTTCTGGCAAGTGCCTTAGCCCACTGAACCATCTCAGTGAGATGGCCCCAAGGAACATCTCCTACACCTAAATTTTGCTTATTTTCTCCTTTTATTTTTTGAGAGTCTTCCTATGTAGCCTGAACTTGCCCCAAACACTCCTGCCTCAGCCTCCTTCATGTTGAGAATGTAGATGAATGCCAATATACCCAACTTAAAGGTGATTAACCTGGACATCTCAAAATCAGATAAGACAAACTGGCAGAGGTTTCAAGCATCTCTATATTGTCAAGAGCATGTGCTGTCCTCCCAAGGGCATGGAGGACATGATGACAAGTGTTATATGAGGATAGGGAATACAGTAAGATTCTGACTTGTGATACAGAACAAAGTCTTCTTAGAGCCCCTGATCTACATGGATTCCATATCCAGTTCATTTTTGAAAGAAACAAAAAATTAAGAGGAACAGAGTGCTGGCAGACCTATTTCTAGCTCTGAAGATAGGATCAGCTACAAAATCTGTAGGGTACAAAATGAAAATGCAAGCTCCCTGTTTAAAAATGTGAATTTAAGACTATGATAGTAGGGGGTGGGCCTAGGCCCTATCCCAAAGGATATGACAGATTCTGAAGACCCCCTATGGAAGGCCTCACCCTCCCTGGGGAGCAGAAAGGGTAATAGGGGTTTAGTTGTGGGGGGGGGCAGGGGAGGAGGGAAGGAAGAGGGAACTGGAATTGACATGTAAGACAATCTTGTTTCTAATTCACATTAAAAAAATGGAAAAGAAAAAAAAGATTATGATAGTAACTAATGTCAAG